ATACCAGTTGTGTAGGGTCTGTAGCTGTACAGATAACAGTCACGAATAATGCAAGCCCCATATTCGGCTGCATTTGGTGATTCGACTAAGTGGTTGTCTTTTGCCAAACTCGGGTTAGAAATTTGAAGTTTTCCTACTAAATATCTTGTCAAAGTTTAAACAAGTACATTTATTTGTCTATACGTGCGTGGCAGCCTTGGTATGGGCGGTCAGAATGTTAACCGTGCCTTCCGATTTGCTTCCGCTATGTATGGCTTTATTTCATATACACAAAATTATATGTTTAGCTTATAATGTCAGTGCACAAATGCTGAGGTTATTGTTCCATAGTACACGAACAAATATCACCTAGGTATACATACCAAGTACATTTGTCTCCAATTAGTCATTATCTTCCTTTGATTTTTCTTCCTTGGCAGTGGCATCATCTTCGCTGGTGTACTATTTGTGGTACCCATATTCCAGATGTGGGGAAACGATTCAACACTGAACGATCTGTCAATAGAGGACCAATCGGTTGAGCTTGTACGTTTCGTATGTTTGGGGAATCCATAGGCCTTTTCACACTATGAACGTCTGATCCATGTCTAAATCTACAGGTTCCAAACCGTGTTGACTTCTTAAAATTTCAACATGATTCAATTCCGCTCCGTTTTCACACTGCAGAACACAGCGCCAGTATTTTTGCTACACGTGTAATATGCAGACAAGCATGTACAACACGTAGATCCCCCGAGCATTTGGTCTCTTTGAGCTTATGAACAGTGCTAAACTGCAAGACGTGGGACATGCTCTGCTTGGGATGGAGTGCGTCTAGATGCACACTTTCTACGGCTGTTTCATTGCTGCTTATACACTTGTCTTTTGCATGCACATGTGGGTGCCATCCACTAATTCAACTCTCATTGAAAACAGTGTAAAATCAGCATTGTTCAGGGCTCAACGTGCAAGCCGAAATCCCTCATGTTTTTTTAACAAAAATAAAATTTTTCTTCAGTCCTTAATTTTTCTATTTCTTTCCAGTTTTCTTTTGGTTAACAAATTAGCGCAAAACAAAATCACCAAAATTTCCGAAGTTTCCATGCAGCCATTTTTCAAATGGCATCCCTCTATTCTACCTCATCGTTACCAAAGTTGGGGTACAGATATTCATTAGATCTATCAGATTAGAGCTGGAAGTCTTAACGCAAAAAGAGGTCATAGTGTTTGATGAACATCAAATTAATTTTAACAGAATTGTAAAACTCGCATTTCTTAAATAGTTCATGTGAACCTTTTCTTTCATTCAGTCGAACTTTTATTTCCACAATACTTCAGGTTACATACAATCCCAAAAAAATGAGTTAATGAAATTTTATTACTAAATTTTACATTTGCATGCAAAAGCACTTGGCTCAATGGAACTAAGAAAGTTGCAAAGAATCAGAATCATAAATTAAAACCATAAACATTACATGAACAGTTTGGAACGATTAAGTCGTCTGCAACACTCGTCAATTGCTTTGATGCATTCCCAGCGCTAGTATAGAATGATTGGGTCGTCTGCAACCCTCGTCGATTGCTTTGATGCATTCCCGGCGCCAGTATATTTCAAACTGGCCCAGGCCAAGAGATGTCTTCTCATTTTACAATGACCTTGACGGCATTCAGACGGACCAGATCAAGCTTCTCCTTCCCCCGCACCCCTTTGCAATTACTTATCTTCGTCTCCCTCTTGAGAATAATACACGGACCAAAGAAAGTGCAAAATGTGCCTCAGATGAGGACCCATTCTTAAGGTCTGTGATTATTTCTGAAGAGAGGGATTCCATATTCATTGTAGGGGCTGAAGGGTCAGGAGAAGCAGAGGAGGCCAGGGCAGCAGACGGTCGGGATGGTGATGGGAGATGTGTGGGGATGAAGAGAGTAGATGAAGACATGGATGACGAATCAGCGATCAACTCGTGTTTCCACAAGCTATCAATCTGACTCGCCATCTTGCGCAACATCTGCAAATCCTGCAGTGGGATTGTAACCATCTTTACTGGGGTGCTGGTGACTTTGGGTGACTGTGATTCCTGTATTTTGAAGAACAAGCGAAAAGACAGTTGCTTTATTGGAATGTTCTTTATCTTTTGTTGTGCCGAATTGCAATGGAAACACACATGATGGCATGTGCCCAGTATTCACAGCTGTCCGACTCACAGCCAAGCCGCGTTGCTTGCCTGCCATTCCTTTTGCACAGTTCTTTGTCTTGTTTACTTCCAGACATTATTTTGCAAATGTTGCACTTATTTTAGACAGGTTTGTTCTTAGTCTGTTCCTTTTCCACACATGAGACACAGACAAAGCAAGATGCCAACAATGCAATCACATTTTGAAATACATATTTTGAGTGAACTGGCTCCTTTTAGAGCCATACATTTTCACTGAAGAGATTATTTATATGTCACGTGGAGTTATCGCAAACCCCAAGCCTTCAACCATTTTATGTCACAATACTACATGAAACTTTTGAGCTTTGATGTCACAGGCGGGCCGGCTGGCACACTGGGTATCACAAGGCGGCTAGCATGCTTGGTGTCGCATAATGGCTGGCGTTATGGTGACACTGGGCAGTAATGGGACTGAGGACCAGGCTTTCCTTGATGACACCAGACCAGGCGGTGACTGGCATACAAGCATCAAGATGCCACGGGAGTGAGCGGAGAAACCACCGGAGTCCCCTTCTGGCTATCCCCAGTAGAGAGTTCAGTCAGATGTCTCTGTATCTAAAAGAGCCAACATGGTGGTCCGTGCCACATTACCACATGTTCTTACCGCTCCAAAAAAGGACTTACAAGGGCGAACTCTGCTTTCCCTTAATTAATACACTTATTTTACATGTACGTTTAAGAGTTCTAATGCAAAACACAGACTTATATACATGTATACACACCCATTAATTTAACATGTGGAAAAGCAAAGGTTTACCCCCAAAGTGAACAAATCTATCTCGGCATCGAATATGCTTCATGGTGCCATATGACCAGATGTTCACATAAAAATGCAGGTGCAGGCCAAAGCTAGACTGGCTGAAAGGTTTCTCAGCTTTGAATTAACCACATGCACTGATCCAAGCTAAGAATTTCGACTTTTCAATGACAATGCTCTTAAACAAAGAGAAATTGTGCAGTCCGAGTCTCTCACTTAATCCCACTTCGAAGAAGGGAAGACCAAGGTGTTACAGCTTGGGCAGACATGAAAGAGATAAACATTTATTGTCTAGCCCGAAATTTCAGTATAGAGGGATAGAGAGCAATTAAAATGGCGCACACAGAGTATGCATTAGGAAAACAGAGAAAATGGACACCAAGTAATTTCTAACCTCAGACCATCGTGAGGTCTGGGTTACATTAGTAAGCTTTCACCTTACTACTGTTTCATCTCTCAGTCATATGCCAAAAAGTAGTAAGCTTTCACCTTACTACTGTTTCATCTCTCAGTCATATGCCAAAAAGTAGTAAGCTTTCACCTTACTTACTGTTTCATCTCTCAGTCATATGCCAAAAAGTAGTAAGCTTTCACCCTACTACTGTTTCATCTCTCAGTCATATGCCAAAAAGTAGTGTAGCATAAACCTAATTGGGCTCTTGTCCTCCAATCCAGCCAAACACTTGAAAAAGGGGACACAGTGCACTCAAGGCTTCAAATTCCAAACTCAGTTACTTGTTTTAATAAATTAAGATCTGCTACCTGCCACAAAGCTTCCAAAAACACAACTGATCGTTCTCCACATACAAAAGCACACTGTCTGGAAAAGTGTAACATTGTAGCAATTGACCCAGCCCTGGAATCCAGCCAAGCCCTTCCTTCTACCCAACAAAAGAAGCCAACAGAAGCGATCTATTTATAGCTACCTATTTCTGGAGCACGCGCCGGCCAAATTCCAAAACCAGGCCAGGTGCACACCCTTACCAAAATAACCAATTGAAATTTCCAATTGGAACCAATTGGAATTTTGCCAATTGGAATTTTGCCAATTGGGATTTTGCCAATTGGATTATGCCAATTGGAATTTTGCCAATTGGATTTTCTTACTTTAATTGACGTCAAATTTTTCCAAAAGGAATAATCTCAAAAAGCGAAACTGTTAACATTGAACAGAGTAGGCCTACAAAAATACATACATACATACACACATTGAAGATTAATTGACATTGATTTTATATGAACTTGAGTTATGTGTATTTATTGTACCTCATAATAAACATCAAGGAGTAGTATTCATGCCTGAATAAGTACTTTTAAATCACAGAATGCAAAAGAAGCACTTAATTACAATGATAAAATAAACAAACATTTCCAATGTTTTATCCATAATAACTTAAACAACTGTCTCTCTGAATGTATATGATTCACCTTCAAAGCACTGCTTTGACCTCATAAACAATTGTTATTCTTGACTTGAGATAAAAAAGAAATAGGAACTTAGTATTATTCCAAAATATTGATCAGCTTGATCCAGAACATTAGTAGTGAAAAGTACAAGAAATTGTGCCTTTTAAGAAATTAGTGTGTTTGAAAATCTTGTCCTAATATTGGACAATTGGTGACAAATGCTCATCTCAAATGCAACCTTTTATGGAGAGCTAGAGTCATCTTTGAAGTGTTCTGACTTCTGTAAATCTCTGAAGAACTTGACTGAATATAGACAGAATAGATACCGCATATAGTGGGGCAAAAACCAAGGCAGGTTTTTTAATTTTGATATTTATGTAACTAACTCAGTCAAGTCTCTAGAGTAGATAGTCAATTTACATTACTGTAGAAAGTCAAGTTCCATCCACTGACACATGACTCATCCTCCTGGTCATCAAGACAGTATGCTTTCTTTTGAACAGGGCACTTCTGCATGGTATTGAAGGGAAAGAAAAAGTTTGCAGTTGATAGGAAATCAATTTATGCTTTTGTTTGGCAACAAGAGGACATGTACAACTAGACAAAAAGTCTTCCAGTTGATTGTAATCCCTTTTATGGGTTGCTTTATGTGAAAAATTTTCTAAAAACCTTATACATGTACTGGTAGTATCACTCAGTAGTCTGCACAAAGATTTCAGCACCCAGTCACTTTAACCACTGTACTTTCTTGGATGTAACATTTCAGGCTCATCACTATTTATAAAAGTACCCTCTGTCATTAGTAATGAAAGAGGTGACTCAACATGTAAGAAATCGCAGCTGCAAGGTCGTGACTATTCTAGCACAGCTTTGACTTTCACATAAGCCTTTGTTTTAGTAGTGGTCACTCTTTGGTGACAATGTTACACTGTATCCGCACTGTTACTGCTATCCTCGATTTCTGAAGTGTTTGATTGGTCCCTGTCACTCTGGTACAATTAATATGAGGAAATGACAAAATCCGTCGTAATTATTCCGCAAATCGAAAAGGACTCCTTTGATATTATTAAAAACGTAAAAGCCATATAAATACCAGCAGTTGAGATCATCCATTTATTTTTTAAAAACTACATTATATTTGTTATCAATGAATTGCTGTGTGCATTTTTGCTCATGAACAGGCATTTGGTATGATGGCTGTTGTTAAAGGTGGAGAGAGCAGTGCAACTGGAACAACATCTATGGACAGATGCTCCTGAGGCTCCTTTATCTTCCATAAGCCACTCTCTGTATCAATAACTGCATGCTTCCACCAGGATATCTTGCCGAACTCCTTCAGTGTGTCCTTGCACTGGAGGAAGTAGAGAACCTGCCCAAAGTAAATGTACTGTGCACC